AAGAATTATAATATATATTATATTATATATAATATTTATATATATATATATATATATATATTTATAGTATATATAATTATATATATATATATATCTATTATATCGTATCAAGAGCGTATAAAGAAGGTGATTCTTCTTTATACGCTCTTGATACCATGTTTTATTCTATTTTGACGTTTTAATGAACGATGATACTAACACGGCGATTGGCTGCTGCGTCGCTCATCGTCGTTACGTCATCGTTGAGCGTGCAGCGTCACGCGTGACGTCATTTTGTTTGTCGCCAGGGACGTACTTCGCCTGCACGATGTTCATGTGCGCCATGTCGGTGTGCTGCTCGGTGCTGGTGCTCAACTTCCATCATCGCAGGGCCGAGATGTATCGAATGTCGCCCCTCGTGAGTATGAGGAAATAGATAGGTTGCGGGAGGAGAGGAGGGGAGTGGGTACATAGCGCGCGCGTGAGAGAGAGAGAGAGGGTGACATGGAGAGGGAGAGGGGGAGCGGAGGCACCGACTATTCCCTCAATGGGCTTTGCCTCTCGCGCGCTCGCTCTCTATCGCTTTCTCTCTCTCGCTCTCTCTCTCTCTCTCTTTCTCTCGCTCTCTCTCTCTCTTTTTATTGAGAAAGAAGGGGAAGAGAAAGAGGAAGCGAGAGAGCGAGAGAGAGCTTTTTTTTTATCAACCCCTGTTTGTCTCGATCTAGACAGAGGAAGTCTCGCGTGCGCTCCTTTTCGCAAAACCGCCCCACTGTAGCCGCTCCCTGACGAATGCAATATTCTGTCGCGGTCTCGTCGTCTTCGTTATAAAAGGTGTACGACAGGATATCTTGCTCGTAACAATTAACTCGTAAGTCGGCAAATTCTGATGGCGACATCCATGTACGCAGTCGTCAACCGCAAACGTGCGCGTGATGATGACGGCGACAACGACGACGGTCACAACGACGATGATGGCGACACCGACGACGCGGTCACAACGACGATGCATGGGCGACAACGCGACGGTGAACAACGACGGATGATTGCGACAACGACGACGGTGAACAACGACGATGAGATTGCGACAACGACGACAGGTCAAACGACGATGATTGCGGACAAAACAACGTACGACGACGACAATGCAGCGACAAATGACAGCGATCAACGACAGACGGCGACAATGGCAGGCGACAACGACGATGGACGAGCGATGACGGCGACGACCGACGATGGGCCAACTGATCCAATATCCCATATTTTATATTTTAGAATGTAGCGTGCGTATATTTAATGTGGATTTTCGTCGATGTGATTCGTAGAAATAAGCGGCTATCGGTTTTTTCACGACGATTGTTTTTTTCGAAGACTCGATTTTTTGGCAGCCCGTGATGGCGTGTGACTTCTATTACACATAGGCTCGCCTAAAGTTCCCTGCAAATCTTTCCTGCTCTCTCCTTTTATAATCTTTTTTCTCTCTCATCATCTCTTTCTCTGCTCTCTCTCTCTTGGCGGCGCGCGCTGCTTCATCTTCTTTCTCTCCTCTCTTCTTTACCCTTTCTTATATCCCTCCTTTTCACTTCTCTCTCGCGCGCCGTGTGTGTTCTCGCTGCGAATCGCTCACGCTCGTGGCACACTCGCGACGAGAATGGCTTGTACGCGCATATAACTTTCCGTAAAGATTTATTCGTATACATAGATCGGTACACCATCTTACGCGAGTAGCGGTTTATCCGGTAAATCTACAAATTCAGCGTACGTTTCAATCCGCGCTGACATAGAGATTTCGTTTGTCCACGCTAAACGTACCAAATCGTGTTTTGCGAGAAAGTCTGCACTCGTCAGCACAGTTTACAGACGCGCGCATTCGTTAAATCCCCCGCCCATCCTGCCCAGTAAGATTCTCACATCCACCAATTGCCGCGCCGAAACTCTGAACATCGCAAGGAAATCAATTCTGTTTTTAATGTGAAGATGTCTTACTATATTTAATCTTGATCTTTTCTTATTCAATTACTATCTCTCTCTCTCTCTCTCCTCTCTCTCTCAATCTCTTCTTCTCTCTCTCTTCTTATCTCTCTCTCTCTCTCTCTACTCTCTCTCTCTCTCTTAATAATAATATATAGTATAGTCTTTTTTTGATACTGTTACATCTACCAACCCAATGCACCCTACTCACCCACTCACCAACTCACACTCCCCCATCTCTCTCTCTCTTCTCTCTCTCTCTCTCTCTCTCTTCCGCTCTCTTTCTCTCTCTCTCTCTCTCTCTCTCTCTCTCTCTCTATAGTATATACTATAGTATCTATAAGCCCATCTCCAACCCAATGCCACCAACTACTCACCCACTCACCAAATCACACTCCCCATCTCTCTCGCTCGTCTCCGCAGATGCGACAGATCTCTGCTACGAAGGCTTCGCTACGCCTGCACTGCGCATTGTCGCGAGCGCATCGACCGCGGCAACGCCAGAGCAAGCGTGAGTTGGAATCAACGCACAGAGTACGCGGAGCTCAGAGCTGAAAGAGGGATGACCTACGCGAAGTCTGCTCGCAATGCATGGACATCGAACGACGACTTCAAGGGCGACAACAACTCGATCGGTCGTCGTCGCTCAGCAAAACAGCGGCGCGCGAAGCCCGCGCCGACGTCCAGGAGCGGCGGCATACAGATGCCAGACAACAATCTGACACGGGGCGTACGGAGGGCGAGAGCAGAGGTAGGCGGCCTGAGAGCGAGGAGGACGAGGCCGAGTTACCGTATATTCTGCGAGATGCGCTACAATCACCGACTACATGCGACACAGGACGATTCGAATCGGTGCTGTCGAACGACTGAGCCAAGGTTGGCAGGCGATGAGTTGTCGATCGTATTTGTCTGTGGCTTTCCACGATCTACACGGGCCGTGTACGCTGCTGCTATAGCCGTGCGCTCTCGCACGCGCCGAACTGGATTCAGCTGAGGTGAACTATGCTGCGAATGCTGCTGCGTTTGGTGCACGTACAGTGCCGTGCCTAGCCTCTTCCAATGAGGGCCAAACCAGCGTACGCACGTGTGTGTAGCGAGGCGTGCGCGGCGTGGGCCCCCGTGCTGCGGTGCTCGCGTGCAGTGCGTGCGCTGAAGGACGTGGCGTGCGCATGTAAGTTCTGTACGCCCGTCTAATGATTTACCGTACGGCGTAGACATAGATTGTGAGCGCACGACGGACGTAGTGAAGAGCGAGGATGTTGCCTTCTAGGGGCGTGCGTTGGAGACGCAGAGGGCGGTTTCGCGTGCGCATTCCTGCTTGTGTGCAAGGACTTACTTGCTGTCGTAGTCTTCCTGCGTGTGGTGTCAACACGTGCCCCAGAAATAAAATAATACAATAATGACGTGGACTCGCCACCCCGTACCAGGTGGCGCGGCATCAGGCGCCGACTAGTGTTTTATCGTGGGGGCGCCGCGCAGTGCCACCTAGTTTTACTCTCTCGTGTCGGAACGAGATACGAAAGAGAACGGACAGAATCATGGAAGACATTTTTTGGATCGAGTCTCGTGACGATGGTTCGCCATTTTGGCTCGCCACTGGCAGCGCTCATGCGCTGGATCAGCCGCTTTGATTAAAGTGAACATTCATATAATGTACATTGTCGTAGTGCGTGGCTGCGCCGAGCGTCGTCGAAGTCCCTGGCGCTGAATATTGTGGGGCTTAAAACTGCGGCCATCATCGTGGACGGAACGTCTGGGACAATCGTAAGCAGTAAGACATTCCGATACGTTCTCACAGCCCGTGCGGATCCTATGACTGTCATGGGAGGAAGCGACGCGACTACGTACTCGTGGTGAAATAAGGATAAGCGTATGGCCGATTCCGGCCACAACGTGGCGCTGGCGTGAGAGACTTACAGTACTCACTCGCGCTATCCGAACACGCGCATGCGCACTGCAGCCTTTCGCCGACACTAGTTCGCTACTGTAACGTGTTATACCATTACCTAGGGATACGACCCCGTGATGAAAGGAATCGTTTGGGTTTGCTCAGGGGCGGAGGGAGCGGGAGGCGGAAGGCGGGATGAGAGATGGAGTAATAGTGCTGAAAATCACGTCCTTGTTTCGTTGTGATGGTCGACAGAGGCTGCCGCTCCGTCTCTCTATGGCCTGCAACGTCGAGTCTTGTTTACTTGTGACAGAAAAATAGTTCATTAGTTTCGATTGAAACAAATATCGCTCCGTTGTAGGTGTCATATAAGTATCACGCGCTTTGCTTCGTGTATAGATATATTGTACGAAATCGTAAGACAAGTCATATCGATAACCGACGTCGATATCAGATACAAAGGTTTTTTATTATCGATACGACTTTCTGATAATCGGAGGATGCGGACCGTTCAATATCATACCGACGTTCGATGTACTATCGATGTTCGATATCGATACTGATGTCTTGTTGTTTAATATCGATTTGATTGCGGTTCTGCAATATGGCCGAGACGGAGGGCATGGAAGACATGACACATGTTACACGCGGGATTTTACGGTTTAGTCTTGAAAGGTTGTGCGGACATAATGTGTATATGAGATACATACGTAGATAATCGAACTGTTGCTCTATTCAGACTATTGTATATGGATTCACAGTTCACGTTCGTTTTTCTTAGGCATCGCTATTTGTTAAGTGTTGAATTTCCCGCTAGAATGACGGCGCTCGCCCAGAACGCGTGGCAATTTCGAGAGAGAGAAGAGAAGCAAGAGAGAGCAGAAGAGAGATATTTACCAACCAAATGTTCCCGTTTTGTATATTGCTTTTTCGGTAGATACGATTAAATAATATAATTATAAACTATATACTTTTAACGCGCAAGCTTCCGGGACTGAGCTGTATGATACAGATGAGTTACGCTAAGGTGACGTGGAGAAAATCGACTGGCACAGTGGCGCTTCGCGCGATGAGTTAACCCAATTATCTCTGCCTAATTAAATTGTTGCTTTTTTGTATAAATTGTATCGACAACATAGATATTGCCCATAATAGGGTACGAAACTACACTAGCCATCTCACTTCCTACCCGCCCTGCTCTTTTCTCCCTGATCTTCCTCCCTATCTCCCGCCCCCTCCGATCGCCTCTCCCCTCTCCCAATCTCGTACCTCTTCGTCTAACCATCTCCCTGTTCTCCTCCACCCCATCCCGCCATCCCCCTCTTCCGGTCTTTCCCCTCCTCTCTTTCCGCATCTGCTTTCGCTTTCTCCTCCCCTTCATCTCTTGTCCGCTTAATTACTCTTCCATAAGAATTTACCGGCAATAATTAACTTCCTTTCATGTACCATTCAGCAGCGACGAACATAACTGTACAAAGCCTATCTGCACTACGTGTTATATCTGTATCCGTGTTTTAGTTTCACTCGTACTCATAAACGATAATGGAAAATTTGCTTTCTCTCGTTGCGCAACGCCCCTT